TCGCGCAGAGGACTCTGGCCGAGGCTCAAATCGTCGAAATCGGGGAACGACGGCCACGAAGTAATAACCGGAATCCCCAGTGTCCCTCAAAAGGGAGCAAATAGGAAGTATGCCAAAAATTAGAGCAATAGGAGATGGTTAAGCGGTCCCGAACCGAGGCACACGGCCTGACGGCTCCGAAAACCGGAAACCGGACTCTGAAATGGGCAAAATGGCCTACGGCCACCAAATGTAGCCTACGGACATTGAGAGATGGTCTACGGGACCTCTCCCTTCCCTCAAGAAAAGAAACAGAGAAAACCGAGTCTGGTTCGCAAACCGAGGCAAGGTACAAAAGAGGGTTCGGAAGTCCGGAGGTAGGGCCCACGGCCGCGACTCTGAAACTTCTGAACGAGCACATTATGAAACATCACCAAGCGCTCAATCGGTGACGTCTGAGTCTTAAGGTCGGTCAAAAATGGGGTGTCTACAGATACTCTATTGTATTTTCAATTGGTTTTCAATTAAGAAATCTTTTTATCAAATGGCAAGTGTTGATATTTAATATTTTTGTGTGAAAAATATAAGGCTTAATTGTGTCATTTAAAAAAAATCAAATTAAATAGTTTTTGAATTTAAAAAAAAAGGTAATGAATAGTTTTGATAAGGGTAAATTACAAATACACCCCTTGAGATTTGATTGAAATACGAATCGTCCCCTATGATTTTGAAAATTATATTCTACCCCCTGAAGTTTCTAATTTCATAACAAATCGTCCATTTTATTAATAAATCATCAAGTCAATTAATAGTTTTTAATGATGTTAAAAATATTATTCAATTAATAATTTAGGTAATTTTATTATTATACAGGAGAGTAATTATGAATTTCATTTTTTTAGTTAATTCTGTTAAATAAAAAATTCTAATAAGGGGATATTTGTAATTTTTTTAAACCATATGGGGCAATCTGTATTTTAAGCAAACTTCAAAGGGGCATTTGTAATTTACCCATGGTTTTATTACATGCATTTATTATTGGTATTTGACAATCTATTTGATAATGTTTTGGTTATGTTGAATTGGATTATTATCTAAAAAAAATGTTGAGAAGTTGTATTATATTCAAAATTTATAAAAGTTTAAACTGAGCAACCTATTTGCATCCATTTGCTCAATCTGCATCTGTCAATCCGATGTACGGATGCGGATTAATTTTTTTCAATCTGCCAATCCGGCAGATGAATGACGGATTGAAGGTTCTCTGACTGCAACCAAACTACGAACACCCTTAATATTCAGATAACAAAAGTTATTGTTAGGCGATGTAAGATCATAACATGAAGGAATCGAGCGTACCGAAAGGACGACACATTGGAGAAGTGTATTAAGAAACACCATGAAAACGTTACAATAAGCACACGATGTTTTGGAATTAAGAAGAAGCTTTTAATACCTAAGTAAAAGGACGCTTATGAAACTTACTTGGTGCAAGTAATAACATAAAAATAAAGATCTACGCTTTTAGTTAATAAATAATTAGCACATGACAAATTTGTTAGTTGATTAAGGTCCAATTCATTTAATTGTTGAAATTTGAATTTGTCTTGCGTAGTCCTCTGCCATTATGGTTGACAAAAGTTGCATGCATGGCCAAGTAATACTACAACATATAAAAGTTTTAAAGACAAAATTTTTTAGCCTCTAAAAATGAAAATTTTGTTGTAAAAGACATTTAAGGATCAATTTTATCGTCGTGAGGATAATTGCTAAAAGGTGGTTCCGAAAAGTCAAAAACAAGGCTTTTAACGACAAAATTTTGAAAATGTCACTAATAAATAAACATTTAAGGACAAAATAATTTGGTCTCAAATAATTTGTTTTTTGAGACAAAAAATTTGGTCCTAAAAAGATAATAATTTATCACTAATATTTAATTTCCATCACTAAAAGTATAATAACAATACTTTTCGCCACAAAAATATTTGGTCTTTAAAAAATAATTTTGTCCTTAAATTTTAATCTCTAAAACCTTAATTTTTTGTAGTGTAATTTGAATTCTCATTCTAGATGGATAGAAATTAAGCAACTAATTTTATGAATTATTTGGACACAAAAATAATAAAAAAAAAAGTTATGGATGAACTAAAGGTTGAGATCTCACTAATAAATTTGGTTACAAATAAGTGAAGGTAAATTACACTCACCTCCCATAAGGTTCAAGAATAATATAATAAGCCCCACAACTTATTAGGCATATTTGCATTGATTTTTTTTAGAGGATTGTTTCGCCAGCTGATCTATTGCTCCAGCAGTGGGATTTTTTGCTGCTGTAATCTGCCTGATGCTGATCTGGGTTGAATAGAAGTGTCCAAGAGTCTAATATTGCAGGTGCTACTTATTGAAGTGTATTTGTTCTACCTCTGGCCAACTAGCAGCAGCAGGCAATGTTAGATGGTGGAGATTTGCAGCTGGTGTATGCCAGAGGTTGTCTAGCTGTTGGCTTTTTGGTTTTTCCTTTTTCTCTTTGCTTTTGGTTTCTTTCTTCCGCGTTGGTTCCTCACCAACTTGGGGTGCTAGCAAATGATAGGATAGGCTTTTTGGTGCCAACCTAGTTGGGATCATTCAGCTCATTGTGATGCTCCCGCACTCCTTTTTTTTTATTGGTGTATTGTATTTTGTACCTTGTACTAATTTTACATCAATAAAGCTTCTTTTTTTGCTGATCAAAAAAAAATAGTCGATACTTATGGAAATGGAGAGTAGATCAAAACTCATGCAAATGGTGAGTAAATGTTTTGTAAATTAAAAATTGATGTAATGATGTCAAAAATGTGGGACTAACTATAAGCCTCAACATAGGTGTAACATAATGCATTCATAGTTGCACAATTGTAGTGAAAATTTTAACATATGAGAAATTTAAGACACAATCATGCAACTATGAGTGTATTGGAGACGAGAAAAACTCGAAATAGAGCATCTCATGCACTATTTTATATAGAAAAGTAATTAAAATTAATGGCCTGTAATTAACTGGGTCGTACCAACTTAGTCAGAACACAATACCTTATTAGAATTCGTGATTTTAAATAACGATATTGAAAGGCATATTTATATTTACCTAGGTTTAATGGTATTAGAAGTTTTCAGCGGTACATATCGGAAATCAAGTGGTATGATCATGAATTTTTATAATCTTCAACAAAAACGAATGTTATAATAGCCAACACTATGCTAGTGTGCTAGTGTTGGTTTCTCACCAACACTATGCTCGGTTTCTTTTCTTGTCCTTTTATTTTTATCTTCCTTGTTGATGTTATCTCATATGTAATGTATGTTTTCTTCATCAATAAAGGATTTTCTTTGCTGATCAAAAAAAAGAAAATAATAATAGCCAAACCGACTGTATCAGTTGTGGCCCTGTCTCTAGTTATGAATCGACTATGAACTCTTACATATCGGGACCTAACCGATACACACATAATTTTCATTCAAATTAATATATTGGAATATCGACATGAGAATTACAAAAACTCTATACCTTAGATATCAGTCGATTTTTAAAACCATACAAGAACGTAAAGGGTTTGAAAATCTCCCTCCCCAAAATTAAAAAATAAAAATAAAAATAATTAATTCTCATGAAAAGATGCTGGACGTCATCATTAAAATTCTGATGCTAAAAACTGAGAGGTAGCCAGGCCTTACCATAATTGGCAGTAGTCACTCCCACACTAGATGCTATGGGTAATTTCATATCCGTGGACTGTCAACAACTGCACGATACATATATAGATGAATTAACAAACCATGGACATGACTGTGATCATTCAAATGAAACTCAGTAAGTCATTAATTTTTTCCCCAAGAAAATTGCCTACAACAGTGTCTCATAACTACTTTTGTCAGAAAAAATTTAAGGAAAAATACAATACCTGTTTCTTCTTCATCTTCTTCTTCTTTCTTCTTGTTCTTGATCTTCTTCATCTTCTTTAGATGGAGAGAAATGAAGATAGTTAAATGGTTGAAGAAGGTGGTTGCAATAACCGTAGTGCTTTTATTGAGTTCATGAGAGAAATTAAAGGTTGTTAGGTTTACTTAGCTTTACTAGTACTGACTGTGCATGAACTTGGTGGTTAGAGTTCTTAAATTCTGTCTTAAGAGCTGTAAATGGGTCGAATCCACTTGTATCCAAAGCCCAAACCCATGTAGCAAGTTCTGTTAATAACACTATTGGTTCCTCACAATGTCTCATAAAATGTTCGAATTTACGTATTTTAATAAATAGTGAATTTAGGGGTAAAAATGGTGCACCACAAATTGACAAAAATAAGAGCGGATTGAACTTGCACTATATAGTAAGAATATATGTGATATCCAAAATTTGGCCTAAGCCAAGTGATATAATTTAGTCATCACAAGTATGATTACGAAAGAACTTTAGAATTTTTACCAGTCGGTCTTAATAATTAAATCTATTACTCATTAGATCTTAAATTTCTATCTTATGCACCAAGAATTCCTGTTATATTTTTTTATCCCAATTTTGCCCCTACTACCAATTGTAAAAATCCATATTTAAATCATTTCAAACATTTTCTAAATTTTTAGTTGTTTATAATATTTATTACTCATTAATTTTTTCAATTTGTATTAATTTTTCTCTTGATTATTTTTCCAAAGCTCTTCTTCTTTCTCATCTCTCTCTAGAAAATACCACCATTGTAGCTATGGCCATGGCCATCCACCCGCAACCACCATCATCGTCCATCACTAACCACCGCCACCTCCACTGGTCACGACCACTACCTTCGCCGGCCACAACCACCACCATTGTTTACCAACCATCTTCACTGTCACTGATCTATACTTTACCATCTTCGATCAACCACCACTGTTTTTTAACCACCTCCGCTATCGCGGATCTACACTATGCAGTCGCCAATCTACACTCCATCCTAGATTTACACCAACTTAGTTGTTTTTACGGTGAAATCAACTTCAAATGACTACAAACGACATTGATTCTCCGCATCTCACCTCCCTCTTCCGTACTCTCTCTCTCTCTCTCTCTCTCTCTTTTTATTTATCTTAAACCAAAGATGTTGTACCAGTGAAAAATGTATCACTAATATATTTCGTTAAATCTTGTGTTGATTTGTGACGATGATGACAAGTTTTTTTTTTTTTAAAAAAAAAAATTAACTAGTGAGAAATTTATCAATGAATGTGTTTATCACTGCTAAATTTATTACTGAATATGTCTTTGAATCTTGTATTAATTTGTGATGATAATGATGATGATGATGATGATGATAAGATTTTCTTTTTGTAATTTTTTAACAAACAATCAGTGATAAATTTATCACTGAGTATGTCTATCAGTGATAAATTTATCACTGAGTCACTGAATATGTCTTTGAATCTTATGTTGATTTGTAATTTGTGATTATGGAGACTAAATTTATCACTTAATATGACTCCTTATCTCCCTCTTTTATTTTCTTCATCCATATTCTTTTATTTTTTTCTTGTTGCCAGCATGACGGTATTGACATGATGGAAATGGAAAATGGCCAAATATATATATATATATATATATATATTGTCAAAGGTTGGAGGTAGTTGCTGGAGGACAGTAATGGCTGTCGGCAATCAAAGATGAAGGCCAAAGGCATGTGGGTTGAATGCCAAGGGTAAAATAAGAACATGTACTAAATTAATTTGGGTCAGCACCTTACAGGAATTAAATCAAGTTTAAAGGATCAACCCGTAATTCCTCCAACAACTTTTAAATTCCAAATATCCACTTGACCCAAATATTTTAGTTATTAAATGAATTGGGTCATTCTTTTAATAATCATTCAAAATTGGGCCATCCGCACAACCCAATTGTAAAAGAATTTGGGCCTTCAAACAAATGTTTGAATTTGGGTCCATATCGTTTTTTTAAATTCTTTTAGTTCATTTGAATTGAATAATATAAAAATTAAAATTTTGTAAATTATCAAGTCGGATCAAAATTCTTCACCATAAGCCTAACTAAAATAATAATAATAAAAAAAAAGAACACCTTATAATTTATGAGTCAAAATATTCATCTGAGGTCTAAAAATAATTAGCTATCCTATCTCATGTGTATTTGGAATCACTAGATGTTGACTGCATAATTTAATTTTCTTAATTTGAGGGAATTTTGGTTCTTTTAACCTTCTAATCTGATGGTAAATTCTAACAATAATAATAATAAAAAAAGAACACCTTATAATTTATGAGTCAAAATATTCATCTGAGGTCTAAAAATAATTAGCTATCCTATCTCATGTGTATTTGGAATCACTAGATGTTGACTGCATAATTTAATTTTCTTAATTTGAGGGAATTTTGGTTCTTTTAACCTTCTAATCTGAGCCCCTATAATCTTTCATTTTTTATTCCCTCTCTTCTATGGGGTGTTTGTTTAGGCTGTTTTGAGCTAACTTATAGCTTTTAATTTTGAAAAGTTATTTTAGACTGTTTGATTAAACTTATTTCAAACAATTTTTTATTCTAATAACTTATTTTAACTCAAAAAGTTGATTCTGAAAAGATTCTGGCCTCTCGCTTCTGATCATTAACTTCTGCTATGGATATGCTAATTTACAAGTATACTCTTAGATTTTTTATTTTTTTAAAAATAAAAAAAGACCCAAATGGACTATAGATTATTATTATTATTATTTATAAGAAATGTAGACAAGTAATGAATAATAAGAAATAAAAGTTAATTGAAAAAACTACTTCTCAACTTATTTATAAAAACATTACTCAACAACTTAAATCTATAATCTAACGGCTACACCAAACAGATTAACAGCTTCTGATTAAAGTAATAATCTATAATCTGTTAAGTTATAATCTATATTTTATTTTAACCGCTACACCAAACGGGGCTTATGTCTCAATAGTATCGCATCTAATTAGTCTAATGATTATCAAGTCAGAAATTCACTTTTATATATATCCAAACTTTAGATTCACGATTGACTAAGATACATTGTGTAATCTCGGTTATCCCAAACAAACAGATTGTGCATACAATTTGAATTTTGAACGTGATAAATGTAACTAATTAGATATGAATGAAACCATTCACAAGACAGCCTGGTCCACAAATTTAATCCTAAACTCCAATAATTGAGGCTAATTTATTTCCCAATAAATTATATCTGCAACTTGGCAAGCCGAGTTGAATTAGCTTGTTTGAAAGTGATTTGAGCATAATTAAATTGAGTCAAATTTATAATCAATTCAAAAATACAATAAGTAAATACATAATTTCGAATGATATTGACAAAAAAAATCAAACAATGAGAAGAACACTATCAAAGGAATGAGTCAAAATTGGATACTAATTAATTAAAGAGATTCCCATAATACAAAATCTTACTATAATATATCATGTTAAGAATAAATCCTACTATAATAAATCTTACTATAATCTTCCTTTGCGGTGCCAACCTACTTAGGATCGTTAAGATTAGTTATGATATTTTCTGCATTTCCCTACTTTGTTGATGTAATTTTACATGTATTATGCTTTTTAATCAATAATATGTTTTTTTTTTACTAATCAAAAAAAAAAATATATATATATATATATATATCAGGTTAAGAATATATAGTAAAAATGTATGAAATAAGATGTAAAAATACATGAAATGTGCACTGGATAGTTGAGATTTATTTTTTAAGTATGGCTTACATAATTTCGAATGTCTAATGAAACTGATTTTTTTGTCCAAAAATAGTGCATTTGCCTAAAAATGTTTAAATAAGAAATCTTCTATCAAAATCCAACCAAAAAATTTATTTTTCAACAGGACCTCAATTGCAAAGATTGTAAAATAAGAATAATAATTATTATTCATATCTATTTGCTCATTTTTTACCAGGACTTCAATTTTAAAAATAGTTCATTTTTTAAAACCATATATAAATACCTATAAAATAAGAAAATTATCCATATCTATTTGCTCTATTTGTAACTAGGACTTTGATAAAGACTCCCTCCAATCACCACCCCCACCGCCCCACACACACGTGGCGGGTGGTGATTGGAGGAGAAGGGGAAAAAAGAAAAAAAAAAAGAAAAACTGACCAATCATGTTGAGAGGGGGTCAAAGGGGGTGGGGGGAAAAGGGAGTCAGGAACATTTTTCTTGTAACTAATCTTTCTTTATTTGAAAATAATTTCTATCTATTAAATGCAATTACTCTTTTTCATTGTTTGTAATCAAAAATTGTAAAACTTTCATTCTTCTTATTGATGTTATCCAAACACATGCAGTGTGTAGTAAATTCACCATCTTCTAATTTCTAGCTATCATTAGTATTAATGTCATTGTTAGCCATCGAATATGCAAACATAATGTAAAGTGAAACTTTAGTTGATTTATTAGATCCAGTTAAGGACACACTATCAGTTAAATTCAGGTACATGTTTGAATTTTGTGAATTTTGTATTAATTTTATTTTATTATTATTTTCTTTTTGTTAGCATTGGCATGGCTCGATAGGACTTGCGCGGCCCCTAAATTTTATAAACCCAATTGAGGCCTTGTCTTTTGAATTATTATAATAAAAATTCTTAATTTCTCATTTACTCACAAACTTAACTGTAGAACTGAAGGTGCATCGCGGAGAACCCATTACAAACCCTAATCGATCTCGATAACTTAATAATCATTTCTAAAACTCTAATATTAATTATTTATCTCTCTAATTATAAATTGATCACTCAAAATCTTAATTTCCGATTTTCATCATTTTCATTCGATTATTTGTCTTTTAATCCAAAACGATGTAACACTAACCGAATTACCCTCCCTATCTTCATTTTACTTAATTCTATACTTGAAAAAATGAATTTTAAATTGTAAATTTATCCCATACCCTCAAGTTTCATTGATTTTTCAATTTAATCTTAATTCAAGTACTTATATATATATGAAATTGTACCAAGAAAAGATTATTCAAAACCCTAGTCAATGACCCATATGGCCGGCCACCCCAAGAAAATATATTGTATTGTACTTTTACAAACAAGCTTCATGAAAAAATGGAAG